GAAGACTTGTAGCTTGTATCCTCCCAGAGTAGGATTTCCTGCTTTGAACAGGCTCTGTCCTTCTGCTGCTGGTCTTTGCCAACATGCATAGTGTTGTAGTGTGAATGCGTAGACTAGGTAAGGGGGTTGACACAACTGATTTTTCTTATGCTTAGTCTATGAAATGCAAGAATAGTAGCTATCTTCTACAATGGAACAGACTGCTGGTCCAGCTAGACCAATATCCTGCTTTGATTAACAGTAATCATCATCAAGTGAATTTTCAGAGAAGTCCTTAGTTGGCAATTTTAGATTAATCTGCCTGCAGGAAATCCATCATCATCATTATTAATTGGTGGCTGATGCCCTATTTTTGCGTAAGCTTCTGTCATTGGGGCAGGGAGTGGGAGTCATTTGATTTAGGCTTGAATTTTCATCTTTGTGTGTGCCAGTGTGTTATCTCTAAAGAAAAAAATCCATAGTTGAAGGTAGGGGTTTTTTCTCATTTGGTCTGCTATCTTTTTTTTTTTATATATATACTTCTAGATTTCTTTAATTCTTCTTTTCCTTGTTTTCTCCTCATGTTTTTACAGCTATCATACCCCCTTGATGTCTTAGATTAAGATCAATAGCATGAAATGTCTTAATTTTGCACTGCTGGGAATCATCTTATCACGGAGAACAATCTCTAATATTAAAGACACAGACCAGCAAACTGCTGCCCATATTTTAGTGTATGATGCATATTCTGTTTGCTTTAAATCCTGGTCATCTGGCTGCTGGTGAATGTGCTCCTAAAATGCTTAGTCTGCTAGTCTGCTGCCCCATTGATGCCCTGTTAATATCTGTCTTTCTTCTGAGCTTATATCTTGCAAGCACTTTGAGGACTCTCCTCAGTAGGTGTTGTTACTCCTCCCCGTGACACAAAACCTGTTCAGTATTCTCATTGCAGTGTTCAAGGTGGAAAATGATTTGTGAAGCAATGAGATATTTATTGTTTATTAAGCAAGTTTTGGCTGTCATATTTCCTTTAAATACAATTACGTTTTTCCTGAGTGTGGACTCTTTTCTCCCTTTTTCATTTTTGGAGGGTCAAGTGTCTGGCAGTGCAGCCACATACTCTTCCTGTTACACGAATATGCCACTGGCTGTAAAATAACAATCCCCCAAAATTAATAATTTTTTGAAGAACAAAAACATTTTCTCCAGTGAAAACTACATTCTTCACTAATACTGGAAAAGGAATGCTTTTAACGAAAAAGGCGCGGTAGATGAGGTACAACAGCAGAGAGCATTGCTGTACCTATCCTACTCTGTTGGTATGCTCTTCATGCTTCTACCCAGGCTCATGCCTTCAAACATAAGTGTCTTTAGTAGTCAATAAGAGTTCCCTGTTGTTAGCTTTCAGCAGTTTGTCCTTTTTTTTTTTCCCAAGATGAATCAAACCTGGATGCCTTTTTCTGCAGGACTCTGTGTGATATGTTTGATATATTAGGTTGTTATTTAATCCAACTATATATCAAACATATTCCTACAGTGTCCTGCCCTGTCTCCGGGGGTTTTAACATAGTAGAAGGCAATATGAGGGAGTACATTCACTCACAAGCAGGTTTAGAAGACTTCCTGCAGACTCCTAATCTAATCTGATTTAAAACATATATATGAACGGCTCCTTCATCAGTAGAGTCGCTCTTGGAGGGACTTTTAAGTTTTGTAGGGCCTTTTATGACAGTGAGCAGCTGCTGTGCCAGGAACTGACTTTCACTGAAATGGTTATTGTGTTTTTCATGGCCCAGTGCAGTAACTTACCCTTATTGGTTTTCTTTTTATGAAATAGAAGATGAGAGCTGCTTCAAAACAAAATGGTTTGTCTTTTGTAATTTTTTTCTACTGTTTAGCAATGAGATTGGGGCTCATTTGTTCTCCTATTAACCCTAACTTTATTTATGCTACCCCTAATAACGGAGATTCTGCAGAAAACTGGTTAAAAATACAGTACAAAAACATCTCAAATTATTTTTTTAATGGTGCAATCAACATGTTCAGGATATTTCATGCTACAGACTTTGTAGCTAGCCTAATAATTTTGGTTCATCTGTTCTGGTGACTTCATTTTCCAATCCATTTATACCCATATATAGTCAATAACAGCTTATTAGTTTAAACTTGTGGAAAAAGAGAGGTGCTGATCTTCATGGGGGCTACTTTAGGAAGTAGACTTGTCTCATAGATCTGGTTTTCTAAAGAAACCCAAGTAGCCCTCTCAAGTAACTAAAACCTTACAAGGTGAGATTTTCTGCCACGTATCACATCATTGCTCCTAACTTTGTTCATGAAGGCTGTGAACTGACACATGTTGTGAGAGTACTGTTGATGAATGGGAACTTAAGAGAATTCAGGGCACACTCTTTAATAATGGGAATGGGTAGAAGAATTACTTCTCTTGTAGAGCATTTTGCTGTGTTCAGTCTTGGACTGCTATATCTCCTTCTTGCTAAGGAATGCTCTTTGGAGAGTACAGGCAGGTAAACATACCCACAGCGCTGACGGAGCATTATGCCTACTTCCCCATTTCAAACATGAGTATCCAGCCCTTAGATGTCAGACTTGAGTATGCTGAAGGGAAGACTGTGGGGAAGGACTAGAAAACAAGGATTTGTTAGACAAGATGAAAAATCCACAGGAGTTCCACAGTTTGAGTGCTGTGTAAGGCTGCTTCAACAATAAATTCTCCACAGAAGAGAACAACTGTCAAGAAAAAACCTCGTCCTTCTTTTCCATAAATTAAAAAAAAAAAAAAAAAAACAAGTTGTGGGATAACATGAAATGTAGGATTTGGATGTTTGAGAAACTCAGGGTATGGTTTCTTCTCCTCCTCCCCCGCTTCAATATCATTGGAAAGAAATTCATTTGGTACACTGGGGGGCCAGAAATCTGTTATCTGATGGGATACTAAGGTTTATCTGTTTTCCTTCTGAGCTTTACCTGCTGGTCCACAGTGGAAGGTAATCCAGCCATTGTACAATAGCATTCTCAGTAATGCAAGATTTGATTTCTCTGCATTCCCTTTGAAAATGGTCATTTTTGCTTAGCACTTATGGGCAGAATTTAGTCTATTCACTATGCTGAATTGAGTTCAAACAACTACTTTTCTTCAGCCTCTTTTTAGTGGCTGGTTTTTTTGCAAATTGAATACCTTCTGGGCATATACACAGCTGCCTAACAGGTCAGAGTATGGCCATGGGCATTTTATTAAAATTTATGAAATAATTCCTCCTCCTTTATAATAAATAAGCAGCTACTGAAATGCTCACTCGCTTAAGTCTAAATTCCTGACAACACTGACATACAAAGAATAATACACGCAATATATTTTGTTATGTTGGAAATGAAGATTTAAAAACTCTCAATAACAGGGAGCCTTGGACCAAGGTAAAAGTGCAATAACAGTCTGTTAAATTGACTATCATCCAGTGGTACTTTTGTTGATATTTTAGTTTAAGTCTCTAGTCAGCTTATATCGAAGTCAACAATGCATCTATTTTAATAATGAAAAGAAATCTGATAGTGACTACACTATATTCCTTTAGTCACTTTGGTTTTGCGATGTCATGATTTGAAGTAAGAGTTTTATAAAAAAGGCTTGAGGCCTGTTGCATAAATTCAGGACCAATGTGATTACCACTTAAATACAATAATGGTCATGATGTTACATTGCAAGCATTGCCAAAAATTGATGTGGAACATGACTTGCTCACTTTACAAAGCAATTTCTTATACTCTTATTACAAAGAAATATGTTTCAATTGATGAGATTAGCCCAATAGCAAGGCAAGTCAAACACTTTTCCTTTAATTAGGTGGCTTTTCCTAAAGGATAAGAAAAACTTTAAAGTGCCAAACAACTTCATCTACACAGCAGTTTTCATTTACAGATCATTCAGTTTTTCTGGTGTCTATGGATGCTACGGTTTCATGTCCTGGACTTTGTTTCAGTTATGTGGCAGTTATGTGAAGTGCTGTAGGACTGAGCACTGCTTGATGTGCCATTTTGTAATGATTTGTAATTACTCATCTTTTAGTATTTTATAATTGACTACTATTTCATCAGATGGCAGGAATAGGAGAACTAAACCTGACTTAAATTTAGATGGATGTGCTTAGACTGGCAAATGAAGTGCCCGGCTTTCTAACTCAAAGCCCGCTTAGCTGGTGTCCCTAAAGTTAGTTATTTGACACAAGAATGCTGTGGTTGCATAAGTTGGAAGAAACCTGTATTTCAAAAGCCTCATCTTTCACAAGGTGATCTGTTCTGGTATTGTATCCGCTAGCCCTACTGGTCATACAGCATTGGATTCTGCTGGTAGGCTTGTGATTTGATCACAAATAAAATACATTCTGTTGGTTTATTTTCTATAAAAAACAATCAGAATACATGTCCTGGTTCTGTTTAAAATAACAATAACCATTTATCTCTATCTATTTTGTTTACTGTTCAGAAGCTAGTAAGTGTGCTTAAATGGATAAATGTTTTCAGTATTTGTTTAAATTATTAGAAAGTCAGGAAAATTGTTCTTTTATGGAACAATAGATTTGCATTTTAAATAGCAAGAAACCTCATTAGGAACAGCTGATCTCTCCATTTGCACATGCTGGTTGAAAGACATGTGTGGATGACTGAAGTGTTGCAGACAGACCTTTGGAACTTCCTGTCTCCAAGATGACTAACCTGGACCACTTCACAATGCTGCTCTCTATGAAATGACAGCTTTTAGCAAAAGCTGTTAAATCTATGCACCTGCTTGGCATCTACGTTAGATTTCTTAGTACAATTGAATGAGACAATATACATTTATCACTGTTCTTTTTTAATGTTTTAGGTCTTTAAGTATTTAGAAAATGCTCTGCGTAATTTAGCAATCCTGGAATCCAGTATTAATAGCACTACAAAGATAATTTTGAAATGGAAAACCAAGAATTTCTTTTCAGACCTGCACTTTTCTGAATGTAGTTTTGAGTAGCCCTAATGGAGATAATGTCTTAGAAAGTTGAAGGCAATTCTTTAAGTATCTTGTGTGATATTCAATTTCACGTGTGAGCAGCCACAAGGGCAACTTAGTATTTCAATTCACTTATGTTGAGTCCCAGCTTTAGTCCACATGAAACTCCTTTGCAGAAAATGATGTGTGTACTCATGTGTTCCCAAATCTTCTTGTCTCACTTTGTATATGTCCTCAATCTTGAAAATACAACTGCTTTCAGGTGAGCAATATGTGACATTGTTCTTTCTTGCTTATAGCAAGCAGATGAGACTCTGGATTTCGAAGAACAGATCCTGGAAGCAGCTAAATCCATTGCAGCTGCTACCAGTGCCCTCGTGAAGTCAGCTTCAGCAGCCCAGAGAGAACTGGTGGCACAGGGAAAGGTGGGTAAACAGGACAGGTAGCAAGGGGGAGGTGGGGGGTGGGGAGGAGGGGGCGGGATCAAAACTGAATTTAGTCTCTTAACTGTTCTCTTGTTAAAACAATAGGAGAGCAGCTTAGGAAAGACTAATGAAAATGTAAATCTTTTCGTTCATTGCTCATCACCATACATGGCCCAGTCCTCATTCTGTTTAAAAAAAAAACAAACCCACAATTACATTTATTTAAACCTCACAAGTGTAATCAAGTGTTGGGCTCTTCAGATGTTTCAGCTGTGGGGAGTTTTTGTGTTTGTGGGGTTTTTTTCATTTCTTGAAGATCTGTGATTAAAGCTAGTAATGTATAGTCCCACAAGACAGCCTGGGGATCCAAAACCAAATGTCACAGTATACGATACCACTCTGGACCAGAATAGCAAAGGGCCTCACTAACTGTGCCCTCAATGTTTTGTTGTCTGATTCAATGGCAACATAGGCCTGCGTGCAAATTCAGTACATTTAAGTGAACATGCTTGTAATTGTTGTTGGGACCAACAGAAAGAGTGCTTATAACATGTGTCACCTTTTTGGTCCGGTCAGGATTGAGGTCTCTCTTGTTCATTTCATATCCATCACTGTTTTCTTCCCCAGTTAATATACTTTGAAACTTAAAATCTGAACATCAAACAGATATGTTGCCTGTGAGAACAATTTGTTATAGTACCATTGTTGTATAGTTATGGTTTCCAATTTCATTTATTTCTTTATTCTGAGCAGACTGTGTCATGGATCCTGTCACAAAAGCGCTATGCTGTCTCGCTAGGATTCCTGGGGAGCTTGTGCTTTTAGTTCCAGCAGGAGCACAACACACTTGTTTCTGAACAATAGTGATGTAACCGTTTGAAAAGACTCACCATAAGCTGTAGCGATGGAACTTATCAATAATGCATAAACCAAGATATTTTTAATACCCATTGAAATCTGGCTGTGGAGACAGTCCAAAATACGAGCATTTTGACTTACCTGCTTCGCTTAGATTATTGTGCAGTCTGCTTTTATGTGATAGGACCTGTTCTTATTTAGTTTCATTATGACATGCAGCCTGCTTTGCTTTCCTCACCACCACCACTGTGAAGTTATACAGAATGATACAGAGTGTGTTTCTATCCTGGTACCAGCCCTGAATCTCCCTCAGGTAGCTTTGGCTTCTTTGCTCCCACCGATACATTTCTGTTTGTGTCTTTCAGATTCAGGCTAACAGCACTTGCATCCTATCATCCAAGTTCAGATAATTGCTAAAACCACTTTAATTTGTTTGTTTGAGGAAAGCTGTAGCTTGCTGTTCTAATAGAAGCACACCTGTCAAATATAGTGCCATATTAGCAGATCTGTTCAGCCTGCTCTGCTGAATTTAGCTGTGTTGCTTTATCTGTCATTCTTATATAGTAACTTGCTGAAAGACCATGAATTTTTGCAGCAAATGGCTTTTACTGATAGTTTCTTGCCTGCTTGGAGGATCTGCAAATAATACTGTGGTCTTTAAGGGAAGAAGTTCATCCCAACCAAAATCAAAATTTAAATTTAATGAAATAGCAAACTTCAGAATTGTTTGTGGCACATCCTCTCATTATGATACTTCTCACAAATAAAGCAAGCTATTAAAATACTTCCTAATGTTAGGCAACTGTTTCCATTTCTGCAGTACAGATCAAGTCTAGGAAGTTGCATCTGACCTTTTTCCACACCACTCCTCTGTTCACTCACACACACTTGCACACACACACAAAATTCAGACACCACTAACTAGGCTCCTATATCTGTGATCTACTTAAAATAGGCTTTCTGGGGATGATTAGGCAAGAAAACCTTGAACCCTAAAGAATTCAGGGACCTAGTGTGTTCTTTTGATTTCTCAGTTATACAAAAGTGTCACGAAAGCTATGAGAGAACACATCTTCTGTTTAGTTGATGCCACACATAAGGATTTGATTCTGATCCCTGGAATCCTCATTATGCACAAATCCCTGTTTCCATTTCTTTTAAAATACAACAAGTTTCTGGACCGTGTTTACATTTCACGTCCCAAAAACTCCCAGACCCAGGCAGCTGGGGGTGGGAGGCTGGCCAACCAACTGTAGAATTTTGTTTCATTACTTTCATGTGATGTGGGAAGAAAACTGTCTCCTGATTGTTGCCGGTACTGCTGATGCCATGAACACTTAGGTGGATGAGCCATGCAGAAAAATGGGCTGCTTTCTTCAAATGCCATTATTAGGCATGAAGACAGTTAAGGGGCCTCCGTGTGGAGCTTTCTGTTTTGTACCTTCCCATACTGCCAGAATCAGAAGAGATTCAAGAATGATGTAAATCCAAATGTGTTGTGGAACCAGAAATAAGTTATTTTAAAGGCCAGGAGATTAGGAACTACTGCTTCAACTGTTACTTAGGCCAAAGTCTTGGCTGCAACAATCATTACTCTGGGACTTCTGCACATGTTCCAAGGATGGGGGCAATTCAAGCAGCATAGCAAGTTGGACACTGCATGAGCAGGCAGATGTGTGCTGGAAGCACACTTATCAGGTAACTAACTTTCAGTTGGATTTTCTGCTCCTGTATGTGCTAGGCACAGTCGCAGGTGAAGATGTTTCCTTTTCTCATGGATTACTGTTTGTCTAAATCTGAGACAAAGCAATTGTATTTTCTGTTTCATTGTAAGCCATCTCTGAACTGTTTTTTCAGGTTGGAGCAATCCCCGCAAATGCAGCTGATGATGGACAGTGGTCTCAGGGACTTATTTCCGCTGTGAGTAACTACTTCTCTTAAGGAAAAGTAGCACCTTCTCTGAAGAAATAATATCCTGTGAGAATGCACAGTGACTTTTTTTTCTACTGTCTCCTAGGCCCGAATGGTGGCAGCTGCAACCAGCAATCTCTGTGAAGCAGCTAATGCCTCAGTACAAGGCCACGCTAGTGAAGAGAAGCTCATCTCATCTGCCAAACAAGTGGCAGCTTCTACTGCACAGTTGCTTGTGGCTTGCAAAGTGAAAGCTGATCATGACTCTGAAGCCATGAGGAGGCTACAGGTACTTGTGTTCTTAATTGCTGAAAACCCGTAGTAGTGGGTTTTGACGTTACACATCCATTTCATGTTTAGCTTCTCTGAACTATTACTGAATTAACACTGTGTTATGATCGGTAAAGTCTAATGTCTCCAGGAGTTTAGTTTAAGGGTGTTAATTTTAAAAATGGCTACAGCCTTCTCTGACATCCTGTCCTGCAGGCTCAGCCTAGAATAGAAGAGCTATTTCAGCTCCTTTTTTCATACCGTCAACATGGAGTATCTTTAGTTGCAATGAAATTTCCTCTTTTCCTCTTATTTGCACAGATGCTACTAATGGACACTCAATATAACAGTTGATGTGTGGATAGGTAGAATACATATCACTAAGTATCTGTCTGAGCAAGAGGAATTAATGTCATAAAATGGGTTAAATATGTAGGAGGAAATAACTGTATCAAAAATCTGTTTGTTTCTATAGAAAACAATGGCATGCTAATGTTATCTCTAGGGATGAGATGGGTTTAGTGCTTTAAAGTAGATTCATATAGATTGACTTTTTTGAGGGTCTGTGGGGAGGTATCAGTAACTGGAAGATAGTTCTTACTGTAATGCAATGTGCACCTTAATAGCCAAATGCTGAGATTGGCCTGAAGGAATTTTAAATGCAGAACAAAAAATAGAGACGGGAACAAAATCAAGTACTAGAGACTGTGTTTTCTCAGCTCTGCCAGGAAATTCAGGGTACTCAGTCACTGTAGGCAAATATTAAACAGACATCGAATGTGAAAAGTTGGAAGGGAATATGAAAAGGAAACAAGCCTGAGCACGGATTGAAATTGAACTTTGCCACTTTACCAAGCTTCGTATTAGCCCCAAAATTAATAATGAAGGGAAGAGCAGTTTGCACTTGTAAATAATGTCCCTTATCATAGCAAAACCAGTGAGTTGATGTCTACCAAATATTTTTACTGGTAGATTTGCCAAAACTACTGAGGCTTTTCAGCTGGCTTTGCCCCCAGCGCAAATGTTTTCACATAACTTTAATTAATAGGTTAGGTTCAGGAGTTTGAGTGTATTACCTTTCTCTTTCCTACTCCACAAACAACTGCAAGCTTTGGGAGACCTTTAACTGCATTTCCCATGAATGCTAACTTGGAATGCACTGTTACAGAGTCTGTTCCAAAACTTAATGAAATAGATGGAAATACTTTCGTTCTCTTTGGGTGAGGTCCAGACTAAGCAAAGAAAATTTCAAATAATTTGTCCTTGGGTCATTTCAGGTGGGAAGAGAGTTAAGTTCAATGGGAAATAAAGCTGGAAATATGGAATGGGACTGAGGGGAGGTGGGGAGCAGGTTCAGAGCTGATCCATGTGGCTTCCTCTTGTGCCAGTATGTCTTCAGCATGTGAGAGCAGGCTGTCTTAGCCACCGGCCTGTGTGAGAACGACTGTTCCCACAGGAACATGACACATGACACCTGGGTGCATCGGGAACCCTGGGACAGAAAACTCTACTCCTGTTCTCTCTCACTGCCTGTCACAACACTGCAAGTACTTACCATTTTTCTGCACATTGTGAAAGCATTAAGGTTTTCTATCAGTGGCATTGACTGATTTGCTGTTAGATACTAGGGTTTAGGGTTTAATATGAGAACAGCCTTACTGGATCAGACCAAAAATTCATTAAGCCCAATCTATATCCCCATTCCAGCAGTGGTCACTAGGAAATGCTTAAAGGAGCAACCAAGAACGGCGCAAGCATGTGTGATACTATTTTCTACTATGTTCTTAGATTCCAAGCATTTTCAACTCAGGAACTTCCCAAGTCAGATGCAGATTCTGTATGTTTAGTAACCCTCAGTGGTTTTCTGCTCTTAATTTATCCAGTCCTCTTGGACCCCATGTAAACTTTTAGAGTCTAATTAACACTTCTTGGGGCAGTAGATTAAGTTAGGACAGCTGTACCTATGTCTGTCCCAGCCTGCTTCTGCTGGTTTAAATTCACACAGTACAAATAGCCGAATGACATGCAAATCCGCTCCTGTAGCACACAGGTCTCAAATTTCATTTATAGGATAGGGACCTTCAAAGTGCAGGGGTTCTAGCAAGATTTGACCACTCACATCCTTCTCTTCATGAAGTATTCAGTTGCTCTTGAGGGTGCCTGGTACAAGGTAATACTGTGTCAGTTTGAGTAATGATAAATTCATGTCACTTTGACCAGGCTATGTTACTGCAGGAATGTTGATAACATGTTGCTTCTGGTATCTCAACTAAATTCTTCACAATTAAGTAAGACGCCTCTCCCTCTCCACATCATTCCACTGTGCACTGAAGACTCACCCATAGTAACAGGTGATCTAGGTGTTTCTCTTGCCCAGGAGGTGGAGATATCTTTGAATGGTCCTCTGCTGCATTCTCTAAACTTGTTTCTTTGCTAAAGCACTTGAAATACATTTGGGGGCCCACCTTTCAGTACTTGTATGTATAATTGAGTAGACAACATGTAGCTAGGTCCCCCAATCAGTCCCTCAGAATGAGTGATCCATGACTCCTCCTAGTGCTAAGCCCACATCAGCCCAGAAGTTTCTTTTCCTGCCTCTGTCCTGACATTGGTGAATAGATAAAGAGGTGGAAAGGAGGAGGACTCAACTAAGAGCCAAGAAGGAACCGTAGATCAAATTTTGGTGTATAAGACATAAGACTTTTCTGGGACCCACAAATTTAAAAGACTGCCAGTGGTATATGAAATATCTCATTTACACCTCCATGTGCGGTACCCCTTAAACCATGGACTATTTGTCACCCAGAGCCAGCTTTCCAGCACGTTCACCAGCTCTTAGTACACTGGAGCAAATTCAGTGCCAGATCTTAAGATGCTGAGCCCTATCCTTCTGTCACCTGCCTGCACAGGGTATTTCCTAGCCAAAGGTCTTCAAGACCTCAGTGCTTCAAAAAAGGTGCCAGCGCCATCTTTTAGCTTTAGTGGAAAAGAGATTTGCATTTTGTTTGTGACAAGGACTCTTCTTCCACTCCATGCGGATCACAGTACAAGAATCCAAGGCCATTCCTCTGGTATCCTCCTCTGTATCCATTAAACCAGTGCCCGTGGAAATGGTCATTATTGAGCATGCAGTGTGGAATTTCTGCTGCCTATATGTATTATAGTATAGCAAAGATAGCTTTGTCAACATTAGAATGCAGGTAGCTTAATTACGTTCTCCTTGATGCACAATTGCTAACGCTACTCAGTTTAGACAACAAAAGATGTATTACAAATGTATGACTGTTTATCTTTAGAACACTGAGAATTTTTAAGGAAATCAAAGTTTAAATGTGAGAGAATCATGGCTACTTTGCCCTGATGAAAGTCCATTAATTTAAAAACTCCATTGCCTTAAAATGTTTCTTTATACACTAGCTTTCATTTTCTGTTGTTCTTCCTCAAAAAAATAATCTGACCAGTGTTGTGCATAACATAATTTGTGATTTCATCCACTGTTTGATTTTAAACAGTAGGAAAAAAAATCTCTTTTGTGAGTTTCCCAACTTCCACCTTCTTAAATAAAGGAATTGTGTTCCTCTCCGTACCACTGATTTTGAAAGATTAATTTGCTTTTCACTGGGAAAAACAAAACACAACACACCTTTCCTGTGTCAAGCAAAGATGTTTTAGTTTTGATGCTCAGATGAATCCATGTTAGTTATGCATTTTTGTTATTACTAAATCTCTTTTGTCTTTTTCAAAGGCTGCAGGAAATGCTGTCAAGCGAGCATCAGACAATCTTGTCAGGGCGGCCCAAAAAGCAGCATTTGGGAAAGCAGATGATGACGATGTTGTGGTCAAAACAAAGTTTGTGGGTGGCATTGCTCAGGTTGGTACAATCACCCAAGAAGTAAAGCAGAGAAAAACTATTACAGAAATGCAGCATCGTGTTACAACGTCCATCTGCTGCATTGCAGGCTGGACAAATCTATGTAGAAATCTGTGATAAATTATTTGATGCGTCACTGTTAGGTAACCACTGACATAACAGCAAAGTGATATGCTGTAAGATGTCTGCACGTCTTCATTGAGCATTTACCGTAATAGCAATCACCATTGTCCAATATCTTTTCTTTTGTTCTGATGAAGGTAATGGTTCTTTTCAAACCTCTCTTATGTACTTCAAACATTCCCAAATCTTAATGGAACACTAGTTTTTTATGTATACAATCAAAGAAATAGAAAGTGAGAGATAAAAACTGATGACATTTTGTTACTGTGACCATGATAAACATGGGGAAATAAGAAGAATATTTAAAAGTAGATTTCAAGGCTTTGAGGCTGTACCAACTTCTGGATTCACTGTTGTGAACAAGGAACACCATACACTGTGGTCACTACTTAAAAGATACTGAAATATATCCTTTCTGCATGTCTGTATACTGTCATTTTTCCTTTGGCATTTTGAGATGCAGGAAAATACTGTGGATACCTGCAGCAATGAGTGTTCAATTTTACTATCACTCAAACATTATGTTAAGACAAGGTGCTTATCCTATGTGTGCTAACCCCTCACCCCGATGAATGTTGGGGGAGCACACCACTATAAAATCTATCATGAATGTATAATAAAACTATGCTGGTAGATTCTTTTTTTCTTTTTTTTTTAGTCCTCTTTAAGAAACAAGTGGGAATACAATACTGTTTTTGATGGCATAGTCCTGGAACCTGGAAAAATTTGAGTGATTCCTGCCAAAGTAATTTTATTTTGGTGCTTCTCTGAAGAATGCTCAGGGCCTAGCTGTGAC